TGAAATCAGCCTAGTTCACTCTTGAGCAGCATATTTAGAGACAAGTGAGAAAGAATGTCCCAACGCGTATATAAGGAACAAACTATATATCCCTACTCCTATGTCCATCCCTCTCCAAGTGAAATGATTTCCTCAATAACTCATTCATCCACATATTTACAAAACAATGACACAAACTTCAGGCAATGCTTAGCAAACAACTTATCTTCAGTTTTCCATAACTGATATATATATTCTTTCTTCTTCCAAAGGAAAAGCCATGTACTAAAATGAGTGCTTACTAAGAGCACCCAACTCACTTAAAACATCCCCAAAAGAGTTAGTTTCTTTGAACTGTTTCCTCACTGTTAACTTAGCAATCCTTTTACTAAGGTATGTGGTCTTCTAGCTCTTAGTAGCTGCCACTCCTGACTTCCTCTTGCTCCCACAAGCTCCCTATAGAAACGGCCATCTCTAGGTGTGACCTCGTCTTTCCAATGGAGGCCCTGTGAGGAAATCTCTTATACCTGTGTGTTTACACCATCCTTTCTTCTGTCCAAAGATGCTGGGGAACCAGATTGCACAGCACCACTCATGTCCTGATCCCGTCCACCCTTGTTCCAGTGGGAATCAAGCCTTTACCTCACTTCTCACTTCACACCCCTTCCTCTAGCTTGAGGGTATCATGTCCATGAAGAAGGTGGCTTCACAAAAGACCTTAAGAATGTAGTTTTTATCAGACACTCAATTCTGAGACTCTCCAAGAATTTTTATCGGGCCAAGATTCTCTTGCATCTACCACAACAACATGGGGAAGAATCGGCAGTCCCAACCCCACTAACTCTACCTCATTGTTCATGTCATCTTTTCCCACCTGGCCTTCTCATCAGTCAACTGTAACTATCTCCAAATTGCTTGGCTATCTACTCTATTTGCTCTCTTTTCTTTCTTCCTAAAAAAGTGGAAAAAATGTTTTCCCTATTTTGTATCTATCTGTGCTTGATCTTTCTCCTCTTCTTGGATCTCCATCTAGAGGTACACCATTGGGAATTGTTGATATTGGATCAGGAAAGTACTACCCCTGGGGTGAGAGAGGGGTGGTGAGGAAGCTGGTAGAGGCGGAAGACAGGGCTTAGGGAAGTTAGGATGCCACCAGTGGTCAGTTACAGGAGAACCAGCAGGGACACTAAAGACTGAAGTGAACAGAGGTGAGAAGCCAGATCCTTGAAGCAGTCTGGTCTCAATACCAACAGGAACCACAACCAGGTGCTCCTGATTACCTCACTCTCACTACAAGGCCCAGGCTTGACATGCTGGGATTATTTCCATGCTTTTGGCTGGAGGCAAAGAAGCTATCTCACTCATAAGGCCTTTCTATTGTCAACACCTTGTCATTGGTCTTCTGTTCAACAGGATCTGCAAACTTCCTGATTCTTGGCTATGGTCTCCCATGACTGATGGGAGACCATCCCATCAATATTTGCATCTTCCTGGTCTCTGAGCATCAAGACCAATTCAGATAACATTGAGGTAGAGCAGTATTTTATGAACTTTGAGCTCAGGGTTCTAGAAAGAAATAGGATCCAGAAGGTACCACTTGAAGGCCCTCAAATATGAGGAATGGATACCAGCTAAAAAGTGAAGAATACCAGCCAAGATGAATTCAGTGTCCAGGGGACTCAAATTGCATTTCAAGGTATCCAATCAGAGACAAGCGGGCAAACAACTCAATCTCACGTGAACATCTTAACCACTATGGGAGAAAACCACTTACAGGAAGCTAAGAATGCCATTCTACAGATGAGGTCAAAGAGTTAATGAGTGCTTCCATATGTGGTTATCTGCAGAGGAACTGGTACTAGGACTGAGTCTCTTGCTAGTGCTCCTAAGTTAAGCCTGAGTTGCAAATAAATATCTCTTTAAATTACCCAAGCACTCAGAACCTATGGGCATCGCTCCAGTGACTTGGATTAGCTTGACAGATGAAGGACTTTCACTAAGGAGCTACAGTTCTATTTTCAGGCTCTGAGAGAATTTATCCAGAAAACTCTTTTCTAAAGTCTGAACATTCTTTGGCAGCATCTTTCTGACCTCCTCTTTAGTCCTACCATGCTATTTGCATACCACGTTGTCAGCATTTTCCCCTGTCCCCCTCTCACCCCACCACATTTCTGAGACTTCAGGCAGACAGGAAACGAGCTAATCCCCTTTCACGGCCATCGCTAAGTCATTTTTTGACTTGCTAGTCAATGACAAACTAGTAACTATGCTACCATAAAAATGAGAAATGCTTACAGCTACAAGTCATTTTAGGAAAAGAACTACTGAAATCAGTACAGAGACTACCTAGAACTTTCCATGACTGGACACAAGGCCAACCTATTCCATCTGCCCCAGACCAGGAGACTCTCAGGGCAGTCATAGGAGCCAATTAAAATTGCTAGTTGCTTCACTGTCAGGATATGCTTCTATATCATTTAAATCCTTCAAGCTGCAGTTTGAAATTGGTTCTTTTGACCAAACTGCAAAAATTGTGTATTTATTTAAAGCAATCTTCTGATCTGTATTATTTGAATGGCACATTCTACTGGCTTTGAATAATGGAAACAACACAACATATTACCTATGGACCCATCCACTGTAATGTGTGTGTCTATCACTAGCATGTACAATGTGTGTAGCAATGTGTGTGCTGTATGTATTATATGTGCACTGTGTGTGCACACAATGACATACCATGTGTGTATCCTACATGTACATTATGTTGCACACACTATGCATGTATACCAAGTGTGTGCAATGTGTGTGTGCCATGTGTATATTCTATGTGTGATATGTAAATGCCATGTGCATGCTATGTGTGTACCATGCACGTGCATGTGTGCACTGTGTATACAGTGTGTGTGCTGTGTGTGTACAGTGTGTGTGCATACTATGTGTGTATCATGTAGGTGCACTATACATGTGTACCATGTATGTAATACATGCAGGTACCATGTGTGCATGATGCATGAGTACCGTGTGTGTGCTGTATGTGTGGTATGTGTGAACGTGTGTGTGCTTGTGCTATGTGTATGCCGTGTGTGCGCCATGAGTGTTTGCTGTGTGTGTGCTATCTGTGTGTGATATCCGTGTGCACTATGTGAGTATATGATCAACTTTTTATGAGTGACTTTTTATTCCAGACTTTTGCATTCAATGGTTTTGATAAAATGCAAGTTGTTACACTGTGGATTCACCATCTTTCAGTTACCCCCCTCTTTGGGGAGATGCGTTCTAGCTGATAGCCCAAAGGAAGATATTCAGCGTAAGTAAATGTCAGATCCCCTTGCTCTGTCATTACCTAGAGTAGAGCACTTAGAGCATAATCAGGAAAAATGCGTTTTTATGCTTGTTGTGGGGTGAGGAGCACATGAGGACAACAGGAGAGTGTATTAGTAGCAAAACTCGAACTTTTAGGGATTTGGCGATGTTGGTTTTAAAATGGAATTTATCCTCAAATCCCAAGATTACAGATTTCCTTCCAAACTGCATTCCCTACATGGTTGAGAGAACAGTTGAGAAAGAAACTGCTCTCCCTATTTTGATTGACATTAAAAACACTGCAAAAATAGTTTGGAACTTGAGCTCTTTAAGGGAAGGACAATAATCAAACTATAGCGTTCGTCTGCAGCCTTTCTCTCACACTTACTCAAAACTGCTCCAGGAAAAGAAATTCGCAGGGAATTCTGTTCTCATATATCACTTCTAGAAGGAGAGAGAGAGGCATTCTCAAGAAAATTATCCCCAAACTTCTAAATACAAAGAGAAATGATTATTTAATGACTCACAATCCAAAGTCACCTCACCCCACGGAATATATTCAAGTTGTGTCAGTCATTTAGGCTGGAAACTTCTCATGTTTGTTTGGGCTTATTTAAAAATGACCAGGTTTGCTCTTCTTACCACATGCCATCTAGTCCTCATTTAATTTCTGGCCATACGTGCCTGGCTTTGCCAAAACCTTAGAAGGATTTTACTGTTTGAGTTTACGAGTTTATCCGCATAGCCCTGTTACACGCTGGGAGCTGTGAAGATCAAGTATTTTGTTCTCATGCAATTTTTTGACCATGTGTTACCACAGCACAGAGCACACACTCCCCACCCCCTTTCCAACCAGGTCTTTCTAAAAGGAATTCCAGGTTACTTCTCCTGCTGTGCAAGATGCCGGGAGAGTCTGACTGTGGGTTTCCTCCCTCTCTGCAACACACTTCCAACCTACACCGTGTCAAACGCCCTACTTACGCTCAGGCACTTTTTCAAACAGAAAATAGCATTTCCTAAGACATAGCTTGGCAGGATGTTAAATGAAGTTTCTAAAAACACACCCACGAACCCAGGCATTCTCTTCATTATTAGGTTTTATAGGAAACAGATCATGGTAGGTATCTCTGTCTTAGCAAATATCAGATCAGTTACATTAACTCAACTGGTACTAAGTAGCTGGGCTCTTCCCACCTCTCACCCATTTCCTTGTAGCTCTAGATGTTCAGGCTTAAATACTGCTGAGCAGAAGAAAAACCAAAGTCTCTGGTTCAAAATCATCTGTGTTTGACTTCTCATCAACCTAAGAAGTCGTGTGTGCGTATGTGTGCGTGTGTGTGTGTATGTGTGTGTATGTGTGTGTTTTAAGCGAAACCTCTTTAGAGAAGCAGGAGGGAGGCTGGTTGGAGCAGACGGGCTCTCAGGTATACCCCCACCCAAAACAAAAGGCTGTCCTAATCAAAGCTGTCGGGGTCCCTGAGTCTGAGTCTCCCCACGACGGCTCCTACTTGACTCGAAGTACAAGATGTGGAATCTCCTCTCGCTTGTCTTCCGGCAACATCAGCCCGCAGAAAAGCCTGATCTGGTTTGAGAGTTTGCAGGGAGTACCGGCTTCCACAAGCTTCCAGCACCCGCTACCTTGCCCACAAATGCTGACGACCCAGAGAAAAGCCCCCAGTCTCTCTGGGAGAGATCAAAGAAAGCCCTCCGTGCCTTACCTCTCAGGCTGAAACTTCTTCCTGGGGACTGCGGGGGAAAGCAGGACCGGTTTCTTTCCGCAGGCGCACAGCAGGAGGGCAGGCAGGCAGCGGTGCACACTGCTCTATTCAACAAGACTCCAGACCGCCCTTCCCTTCCGTAGCTCCTCCCAGAAGCCCATGCTAAGTGAGCACATACCCCTGATGTTTACTGTCGGCAGCCGGTGGTATGCATTGTCCTGTAGCTTTTCTAATAAGCAGCCAGTGACGACACCCCGGGCCGAGGTGGATGCAGTCTGGCTGCGGAGATGCCTGTCATTCCCTTGGCATGCTCAGGAAATCACTCGTCAGAAAAACCAAGACCTAAAAAGCTTGAAACTGCGTGCAGGCTGCCAAACCAGCCCGCGCCATGCCCTTTTTTGGTTATCCCTTGCAGGGCCTCTGGAAGTGAATCCATTGTCAGGAACCATCCGAAGAAATGTTAATCTTGGAGAAAGAGGCTGTCTTGTGGAGCACAAACGGGACTTTGAAAAGCAAGCACAGGCTAGGAAACTCCAAGTTCGCAGTCCATAAGTTTATGGGGGTGGGGGTGGGGAAGGCTTTGTACTCCAGGGAGCCTTCAGAGCGAATTTTTCAAAAGGAGCTGTATAGCCACGATGACATTAAATTGTGAGGTAATTTTAAAGTCGCGAACCAGGTCTGGTATACAGGCTAAATTCTAACCTGCAAGAGGCACAGTCCCTTAAACTATTTCTACATGGTGTTATAAACACAACAGACAGAAACCCTCAGGCCTTTCAGAGGAGGTTAGTTCGCCAGAATAAGCAAAGTGCTAGAGACTGGCTAGACTGGGTGAAGCGGGCTCCATTCTCCTCCTTGGTTTCCACATCACCTCCATCTCCCTGGCCCTTGCTTTTCTCAGCTTTGGCAACAGGGAGCTCCGGGGAGAAATAACGCACCACAGAAAGGGGATGAAAAGACTCAGGCCCTGGTTTAGGTGTAGACAGAAAACACCAGGTCTAGAGACTTCTGAGACATACTCTGATCAGGTCTTCATTGGCAGGAAGTGTGAGAATGAGGTGAGAATCAGGGGATGCAGAATTAGGGTGGAGTCACAAGCCCACTTGGGCACCCACGCTGTGCACCCACGCTGTGGGCTTACGTTCCAATCAGAAGCCAACCCCCGGCCCACCAGTATCCCATTCAAGCACTTGGTCTTTGTCAGGCCCGAGGCCAACATCTAGCTTATGTCACTAATTTGTGATGTGCTCAGAGACTGTTGCATCATGACTGATCAAGTGTTAAAAGTATTTACCCTGGACAATTATGAATCCTGAAGTTTGGTCTTCAAAAACTTGAGGTTTCACTCCAGAGGGTTTTCCCTATTGATGAAGAACCTAGAATGGTCTCTGCTTAGAAAAATGTCTCCTTGGTCTCAGAAGAGTTGAGAAATGTCCCATCCACACAGATGGCTTCCTTCTTCACCGCCAGCACTCACTGGTTACCCAGAGACATGATCCATGTCCACCTTCCACCTGTCTCCTTCTTTCTTGGGGAGTACCCTGCCCCTCTTTTCTTGGCTGCCACAGCTGCACAGGCCCAAAAAAGCTACAGCAAAGGCTGCCAGACATAGAGAGAGGTGAGCTCCAGGCATCCCAAGTTAGAACTCAGAATACACTTTCCCAGGGCAACAGAATAAATAATGGTTGGTGGGAAGAGAGTCAGGGCTGCCTTTCAAGTCCATGGGCCCAAGCCACATCTACATGCAGCTCATGTTCCTATGGGAAAATGTTTTCTGATCTCAAATAAATAATTTGAAAATAAACTTTCAGAACACAGGCGGTTTTGCTGCATGGGACATCCCAAAGCTGGACAGGTTGTAAAGAGAAAATAGTACTTCTTGTCTGCCGCCATTGACAGCGTCGTCGGACAGACACAGGTGAGTTCTGAAAATGACTCAGCGGCTGACATCTGTGTGGAGACAGTCTGTTGTCCTGAGCTATGCGGGGGCCATGGTCTCCAGGGCCCAGTGAGGCCTGCCATAATGCTGCGTTCCATGCCATTGCTGATCCTATCCAAAGCGGCACACCCACCCCCTGTGTGTGAGCAGTTGAAGAGCATCGGGGCATAATTTGCAATCTATCAGTAAAATACATGCCAGCTTTCCAGAGAAAAGGAAGGCTGCACTACAAATGGGGAAAATATTATCAGCAGGAAACATGGAAAGGACATGCATTTTGCATGGTTTTTAGAAGATAAATGGTAAATATGTTGGGGTTATGTCTTTGGGAAAGAGAAGTTTGTTTCCCTAGATAAATTTGAAATATATCATGTATAGGGTATAATGGATGGGCAACCATTCAACTAATTTTGTATATTTGAAATATTGTGGAGAAAGTGGAATTTATAAAACTGTTTTTGGCTCTCTTTTTACTTAAAACAAACAAACAAACAAAACAGGAATAAGAAAGAAAGGAAGGGGATAAAGGGAGGAAGCAAAGAAGTTATACATTGTCCAATTTTTGCCATGGGAAACTTCACTTTCATAGTATTTACTTTTCCAGAAGTCACTTGTAAACAATACTAAAAATACACCAGGTTCATATAGGAAATTTGTGTGGGATGAATTTCCCTTTGGGGTCATTCCAGATAAAGAAGAGCTTGTCCAGCATAGGATATGTCTATCTAATCAAACCAAATCTAAAGAGACAGTTGGAAACATCTGGATAATTCATAGTGTTTTTTCAGTTCCAATTGAATGTTTATAATCATGTAGACCCAGTAGTGAGCAATTATATTTTGTTTGTGTCTCAATCTGAAAAAGTAACCACACTTTTTTCATTGAAAATTATATTCTCTTTACTTTATTCCATACAAAATGTACATTCTCCCAGCTTAAAACATCTACTATATTGAATAAAACAGATGATTTGGGTCTTTTAGGTGGCAGCAGACAGAACCACCCATTCTGCCCCCAAACACATACCTTCTTTTACTCAAATGAGATAGTTCCAGAAACTCAAGTTTATAGAACAATAAACAGACTTGCAGAATATTGTCATCGAAATAGGACAACAAAGACAGTAATAAAGAGAGGGAATTAGACTAACTGTAATTATGAATGTGGATGAAAAAAAGCATAGTGAATCTATTGTAGTAGAGTTTAAAAAAAGCATATTGAATCCATCGTAGTAGAGTAAAAAAAAAAAAAGCAGGACCAGTGCTCAAAGTATGAAAATCTACTAACACGTTATTCAACATTAACAGTTTAATTTTTTAAGTATAAAAAGGAAAAGAAATTCATCTCAGTAGATGATAAACTTGGTAATATTAGTAATCACTTCACGGGGAATATGGTCTTTAAAAATTAGCAATGGAATCTCTAGCAACATGAGACACATTATGTGTACCAGAAGTAATACACAGTAAACTTAATACTTAATGATGAAATGTTGAGTGTTCCCATAATAACAGCAACAAGAAGAAGATAAGGATGATTACTAACTTTTCTACAGTTACAAAATGGGCTGGAGTTCCTAACCAAGACAAAGCTAGAGTGAAAAAGAAGGAAGAAAAATTATATTTAAAAGAAAACAAAATGTCTATTTGCTAATTATTATGTGTGTAGAAAATTCAAGGGAATCTAAATATACAGTACAACTAATTAGACTTTCAAGATTTTTGAGACCAAATTCAGTGTCTAAAAGCCTATGTTTCTTGTTAGCAATTATTTCTAATTTTAAAATATAATGGGAAAAGATACTATTTCTAATAACAAAAGTGTGTATTATCTGGGAATAAACTAAAAGAATGTGTACAAAAAATTACAAAAATTGATTTAAGAAAAAAAGAGTCTGAATAAATGATGAAACATCCCATTTAAGAATGGAAAATCTAAAAATCATAAAGATGTAAATTCTTCTCAGATTAACCTATGTTAATCCAGTTCAAATCCCTAAATGATATTTTTGTGGAACTTGACCAAACAATCCCACATCTCATATGGAAAAAAAGAAAAAAAAATCTAAAAATAAGTAGTTTTTTTTAATAGAACAGTTCTAATTAAGATAAGTGTTATTGGCACAGGAATAGTCAAATTGCTTAACTAAATAAAATAGAAAGCCTAGAAATAGATTCACGCCTATAGGGAAACTTTAAAAATAATAACAGTGGGGCTACAAGTCTGAGAGAAACGAGTAGATGATTTTATTAATGGTAAGATTACAAGTGATTTCTATGTGGGAACAATAAAATCAGATTCAAAATCTGATTCCTACTTTACACTAAAAGAACCCAGGCTCCACGAAAAATAAAACTTGCAAATGATTAGGGATAATTGTGAAGGGGTATGTTTATGATCAGGAAGATTCTTAAGTCATAAAAATGGAATTTACAAATGGAAAGACTGAAAAAGGGGAGGATATAGACATTAATTCTGCTCCTTCCCCCAATTTCATTGAAATGATAGTAAAGAAATAAAAGTAAATAAATAAATCCTACAAGGCAAAACGTCCTGGAAGGAGAGAGAAGGGATTTCAGATGTCAGCCAAACTCTGGAATATGGAAAACGGATGGAGGTTGGTAATTAAGTTAACAGACCTGAGAAACTGCGCTCTGCCGAGATGGCAGAAAGCACCAACTCCAGAAAGCCTTGGGATCCCGTGAAGGAGAGAGACTGAGCAGAAAACAGGTTTGGTTGAAAATTTGAGGGGGGAATAGATGGACATACAGAGGTGCGCGCACACACATACACACACATGAATGCACCCCATACACAACCCAGTGAATAAGCTTCTCACAAGTGGGCAGAAACTGCAATTTTACTCTGGAGAGAAGTGTTGTGTCACTCAAAGCCATGCACTTGGAAAGCAGACTTTTAAGTGGAAGTTGACTCTCAACGGCCTCAAAATGCCCCCAATCTCTGCACTCTGGGGGGCTTCCAGGACACAGTGGGTCAGGTCTGTACTCCACAGGAAGGAAACTGGAAGATTCCACTCTGGGGAAGTTGACATGTCCTTGGAAAAAGACCCGAAGGCACAGAGGTTTGAGGTCCGTGACCCAAGGACAGTGGGTGAACAGTAGCAGAGGAGCAATGGAAAAAGAAGTTCAGAGGAAAGAGAGTCAGGACAAGAAACGGAAGAACACTTCAGGAAAGCTAGAATATGATATAATTAGCCTGGAAACTATCATTACTATTCTCAGAGAAAGAAGATACTCTATGAAACAAGAGAAAGATGCTTTATAACCCGTACTTTCTGAGAAGAGGAAAG